GTCGGCGTAAAACTGTAGGTCCCTCCGCTTTGTGTGACAACATAAGGCGCACGCCACAAGTCGGAGGAGAAGCTCGGCCAAACACTAACACTAAGCGCCAATCTAATATTATTGTTATTATCTTCGACTTTAGTAGTATAGATATTGGATATTAAATGAAAAATATATATATTGTAAGATTACAAATAAAAGAAAATGTAAAATGCACACTGTGGCAGCCCTGTTGCTTATGGCAGCACTGAACACTGAACAATAACAAATTGAAAAAAAGAATAAAGAAACTAAAGAAGAAAGGAAGATACTTCACTCCGGTTTTGATATAAAGCGAACAACGTTGTTTTCTCTAGCGAAAAAAATAGAATCTTCAACCATCACTAAACACACCAGGAAATCTTGGAATTTATAACATCAGGTGTGAGCTCAAGACCAGACTACAATTAAATCAAATTATATTTCACAAGTTCTGACATTATGGCCGATATTCGAGACGAAATAATCAAATCGCTCACCGAGTTGGGCGTGGATTCTCCTCATACAGCCACAATCGGCCAATTGCGCCGTCTTTTAAGGGATGTGGTCGGAGATGGGGCAAGCAATATATCCATCACCACCGATTCAACCGAAATTGCCTCCCAGGCAGATACTGCCGCTGCTGCCGAAATCACCGAAATGGTCACTACTTCTGCCGTTGTAAACGCTATTACAACCCCTATTTCTACTGCCGTTGCCGATACTATTACCACCGCTGCTACTGCCGTCACCGCCGCCACCAATACTATTGCCACCACCACTGCCGCTAACGCTGCTGCCGTTACCAATATCATTGCCGTCACCACCGCCGCTAACGCCACTGCCGTCACCAATGCCTCTGCCGTCACCACTGCCGCTGCCGTCGCCACTGCCGCTGCCGTCACCACTGCCACTACCGTTGCTGCTGTCTCCGACACCACTGCCGCTACTGCCTCATTTGTAGATACCGCCGTTGACACTAACTACAATAATAATACGATTGACCTTGCCGCCAATCCCGGTGCCACGGGTATAAACAATATCGATAACGAACTAACTGCATTACGTAAAAGAGTTGAAATGTTGCGGCTAATGAAGGAAATCAACGATTTGGGGGGCAGTGCTGGCTCATCACAACAACAACGACGATTAGATTATGGAGATATTGAGCACGCACTCCCAAAATTTAGCGGAGATGACATCTCAATGTCCATCACGGATTTTATTCGAGATTTTGAGGAGGTTACTGAGGCGTCAGGGGCAGACGATCGTTTCAGATTGGTAGCACTCCGCCGTTGTTTGACCGGTACAGCTAAAGTTTTCTTATCATCTACAAAAGCTCTAAATTATGGAGCACTTAAAAAAGCTCTAGAGATGGAGTTTAGTGTACCAGTCACCAGAAATGAAGTTTATAAAATGTTAGCACAACGGCGCTGGGACAAGAAAAAAGAATCATTGCACTGCTATGTACTAGCTATGCAGGCCATAGCAAAGCGGGCAAAGGTGGAAGAACAAGAGGTAATCGAGTTTGTAATCGATGGAATAAGGAACATTGTGCCCAATGCACACTTGCTGCTACCTGCCAGGACCCTTGCCGAACTAAAAACATTAATTCGAAGGTATGCGAGGAAATATTTGGTGAGCGACGTGGTGGCCACAACAGGACGCCGGCAAGCTACAAAGACGGTCGAGGACGCCAAACAAAAATGTTACAACTGCTCGAGAGATGGGCATATCAAGCCCAACTGCCCTTACCCATTAAGACCAGACGGGTCCTGCTTTCGTTGTTGGCGAATGGGCCATGACCATCGCTCATGCCCGAATCCAGCAAAAATCCTCAAACCAAAAACGCAGGTTGCATCAGTAATGGAAGGCGGAGACGATGAGTCTTACGATGTAAATACATATAACTTTGTGAGTATTATATTCAAGCTAGAGTCAAAGATTTTTTCTGTAGAAGTTTTTTCTTTATTTGATACCGGTAGTCCGGTTAGTTTTATTGATGGTCACGGGTCCCAAAACAACTGGTCGAGTACAAGAATTTTCAAAATACGAACACGCCCAAATACAAAGGAATTGGGGGCAATCAAATAAATATTATTTCAAAAATTAAATGCCTTGTAAAATTTAATAACAGAATTAATAAAATTGAATTAAATGTTATATCAGATGAAGATATGGTAGTACCTGTTATTATGGGACGTGACTTTCTGCACAAATTTCATATTAGACTTAAGTACGCTAAAAAAGGATATACAAAATCCAAATTATTAGACATAGGAAGAAATATGAAGACATATATGATTGACGAACAAAAAATTGTAACTGATTCCGAAACATTCTCGGCCATTGTAAAATTACAACCGAAACAAAAAGTTAATGTAAATCCTTCTGATTTAACTGCAGAGTTTTGCACCAACGTAGATAAAAATATTGATGTTAATCCCGAAGACTTAATTGCCGGTTTTCGCACCAATGTAGATTCAAATATTGATGTTAATCCCGAAGACTTAATTGCCGGTTTTCGCACCAATGTAGATTCAAATATTAATGTAAATCCTGATAATTTAACTGCCGAGTTTTGCACTAATGTAGATAAAAATAGTAATGTCGATCCCGATGGTTTAACTGCCGCTTGTGTACCTGACATTTTTTGTATTGACGTTTCTTATAACCAGGACGATATAGATATAGATTGTATACTCACTAATGGACAACGCAATAGATTAAAAAAGGTTATTGATGACACTTACTTCAAATCTAATATTAAACCTGAACCCCTCGAGTACGAAATGAAGATTCATTTAACAACTGACTTTCCCTTTCATCATGCCCCCCGCCGCTTATCTTATGCAGAACGTAACGAAGTACAAACAATTATAGACGAACTGTTAAAAGAACAAATAATTCAACCAAGCGACTCACCCTATGCTTCAGCTATTGTATTAGTAAAGAAGAAGAACGGTAAAACACGTATGTGTGTAGACTATCGGGCCCTGAACAAATTGACGGTTAGGGATAATTACCTACTGCCATTAATTGAAGACTGCATTGAGTACCTACAAAACAAACGTTTTTTTTTCTGTGTTAGATTTTAAGAGTGGTTTTCATCAAGTCAACATGTCGCCAAATTCAATACCGTTTACTGCCTTTGTAACCCCAAACGGGCAATTTGAGTATTTGAAAATGCCTTTCGGGTTAAAAAATGCGCCCGCGGTGTTCCAACGGTTCATTAATATTATATTTCGAGACATGTTGAATGAGAGGAAGATCATTATTTATATGGACGACATAATTATTGCTACTGAGAACTTTGAAGATCATGTTGTATTGTTAAAAACGGTGTTAGATCGGATTACTTTACGTAACTTGAAGCTTAACTTGAAAAAATGCAAATTTGCATTTCAAGAAATTGATTACTTGGGATATAAGGTAACTCGTTCGGGGATAGCACCTAATGATTCTCATATCAGAAGTATCAAGAACTTTCCAACTCCTACGAATCCGAAACAACTGCAGTCGTGTCTGGGGTTATTCTCCTACTTCAGAAGATTCGTACCTTCGTTCTCACGAATTGCCAAACCCTTGCAAGATCTATTAAAAAGAAATGTCCAATTTAATTTTGACGAAAAATGCAAAGACGCTTTCTCCGAATTAAAGTCCAGACTAGTTAAAAGCCCAGTCCTAGCCATTTACAGCCCGGAAAAGGTAACTGAGCTACACTGTGATGCTAGTAGTATTGGATTTGGGGCGGTATTGTTACAACGCCAGGAGGACGGCAAAATGCATCCCATTTCTTATTTCTCTAAAACTGCTTCAAGTCCTGAGAGTAAATACCACAGCTTTGAGCTAGAAACCTTATCTATAATATATGCATTAAGAAGGTTTCGCACCTACCTAGAAGGCATACCATTCACGATAGTTACAGACTGTAACTCCCTAACCATGACCCTTGATAGAAGACAATTGAATTCTCGAATAGCCAGATGGGCCTTAGAGTTGGAAAATTACAACTACAAGATACAGCATCGAAGAGGTGCGTCAATGGGTCATGTCGATGCATTAAGTAGACGAGAGATAGCTGCTGTTATAGATACTGATGATGTAGAGTTCCGTATTCAGGTCGCTCAAGAGCGTGATCAGAGTATTAGAACCCTGCGGAAAAGACTCGAAAATGAAGAGTTGAATGATTTCGACTTAATCGATGGGTTAATATATAAAAAGAAACATGACGGTAAGAACGCATTGTATGTGCCGTATGAAATGGAATCTAATGTAATACAGTTGATACACGAAAAATTGGCCCACCTATCTGTTGATAAGACGTTGAGTAAACTAAGCCTTTACTATTGGTTCCCAGAGATGCGCACGAAGGTGGAAAAGTTTGTTAGGAACTGTTTAAAGTGCATTATGTATGCCAATCCTCCCCAAGCAAGAGAGAGAAGTCTGTACCCTATCCCTAAGATTCCTTTACCGTTCGATACTATTCACATCGATCATTTCGGACCATTACCATCATTAAAGTCGAAACGAAAGCATATTCTAGTGGTTATAGATGCATTTACCAAATTTGTAAAACTATACCCCACAAACTCCACGAGTACTCGAGAAGTTATCGCAGCCCTAGATAAATACTTTAGCTACTACAGTAGACCGGGACGTGTCATAAGCGACAGGGGGACATTTTACCTCACTACAGTTCACTGAGTTTTTGTTAAAGAAGAATATAAAACATGTAAAAGTAGCGGTTGCATCACCCCAGGCTAACGGACAAGTGGAGAGGGTCAACCGGGTTCTGAAGTCGATGTTGGGAAAATTACCTAATGACCTGAACCACGACGATTGGACTAAAAAACTGACTGAGATTGAATACGCCATAAATAACTCTATCCACAGTACGTGCCGAGATACCCCAAGTCGGTTACTGTTTGGTGTCGAACAACGTGGAATAATAGTGGACGAGTTTACCGAATATTTCCAAGACAAAATTTGTCCAGACGGTAATAGAGACCTAGATCGTATACGCACTAACGCTTCTAATCTTATACTGGCTAAACAGGAATATGATGCTCACAGGTCGACACAAAAGAAGACTTTGCCCAAAACTTACCACGAAGGTGAATACGTCGTTATAAGAAACGTCGATACCAGTCGTGGTACAAACAAAAAGTTGATTCCCGTGTATGATAGGTACGTGATACGTGATATTGATAACTGCCAGCTAACTCAGTTACCATATGATGGAGTGGTTGAAGCCTACCGAATCAGGAGATGGCAACAAGTACCAGCCCAGAATGTATCGGAATTAGAAAAAGTGCATCAGAAATTGTTAATAATTTAAGTCAGTCATGATCGGGCCGATCATATTGTCAGGTCGGCCGAGTTGTAAGATTACAAATAAAAGAAAATGTAAAATGTACACTGTGGCAGCCCTGTTGCTTATGGCAGCACTGAACACTGAACAATAACAAATTGAAAAAAAGAATAAAGAAAGTAAAGAAGAAAGGAAGATACTTCACTTCCGGTTTTGATATAAAGCGAACAACGTTGTTTTCTCTAGCGAAAAAAATAGAATCTTCAACCATCACTAAACACACCAGGAAATCTTGGAATTTATAATATATATATATATTTTTAATTTTTTGAGTCTCCATGGAGCATCTGGCCTTGGACCCCATTACGACACGCCTTAACCGACACCAATGGGGACCAAAATTTATATGTGATATCTTCGACTACGGCCATGATACAAAAAAGAAGGTAGTTTCATTGTCAGATTTGGGGCGCCATATTAACTCCATGACAATTAAGCAGATGGTGACATTTTATGCTACCATACCTAATCCTCAAAAATAATTTTTTTGTAAAAAAAAAAAATTAATTACAAAATTTAAAAAAAATTTGTGTTCGATTTGAGCAACAAAGAAAATTGAATTTCATACATCTTAATATTTGCAAAACAAGCGACCAATATCTTCTGTGAAATTAAAGACCGGTAAATATGTTGCCCAGCCAAAAAATTATTTATTATTAAATTTGTTTATTACACAGCCAATCATCCAAAATAATTTTGATGTGCTTTTCAAACGGAAGCCCAAGTAAGTCTTTATTTTCGGAGCTTCGTGATATCATAGAATTGTCTCTATTATAGTTAAAGACGATGATATTACTAGACCTTCTCGCAATAATTTTTATTGAGATATACGCAAATGCATTCCGGTCCAGCTGCAGATTATGACAAAATGATAGATTCCGTACAACAGATAAGAGTTAAACGTCATATGCGAACATCAAAGAGTTGCGAATTTAAAACGATTTGGCAAATCATTTATGCATAACATTCTGTAACCCATTAGCAACAATTTTCATCGTTGCAACGTGTCGACATACATAACACACGTCGGCAAGTTGCGATGGCGATCCAAAAATTGTTGCTAAGAGTTTCGCGAACCAACTTATTTTTTATATAAAACTTACTGTAAAATATGACGAAAAAATATTATAAAGACATGTACATTCGGGTGGTCAAAAAAAGTAAAGTCGGAATTTTAATACTCTCACCCCCTAGGATTGTTCTATACCGAAAAAATATACACCTAATTTTTCAAATTTTAAATCAAGAAACTAAAAATTGAGCTGCTTATTTCTTGAGTGCAAAAGCACGAAATACATATATCTGCAAGGGGACTGATGCAAAGCTTCAGCAAAGAAATTAAGAAAATTACAACATAGATTAATGTTTTGTTACATGTTCATTGTTTATTTGGTTTAAAATAAATAATTGTATAAACACTCGATTTTATATTATTTTCTCATCTCTGCACATCGATATTCTTCAAAAGTAATGTTTACGCTTGAGAAAAATGTTGAAATTTGATTATCGATCACATCAACTTGCCTTTTTTACTCTAGTATTGAATCCCAAATATTAAAAAAAAAATCTCCCTTCTCAAAAAATTCCAATGTGGCAAAGCTATGCTTAATGTTAATTTTTGGAGAAATGTCAAAAATCTGCTTTATAATCAAAAAATAGTAATGAAACCACCTTCTTTTTTGTATCATGAAATACGGCAATATCGATTTTGGGTATGAGTTGGCAAAAAAAAAATAATAATTAGGGATGTGCCGGGTATCCGGTAGATATCCCTATCCGGCCGTTTTTTGGTTATCCGGTCGGATTCCGGATATCGATTATAGAAGATTCAATCTAGAAATTTAACCCAGATTTTGTATTTTTGTAATCCAATTTAATAGTATCTAATTAGTAATCAAAGCTAACAATTTTTATATTAGTTTTGACTTTCATCAAATTTGATAGTCGTTTGACATGTGCTGTGGACCGTGTAAAGTGCTGTTTGATCAAATTGATAAACAAATTGAAAGAACAAGTGCCCGAAAATTTAAATAAAAACAAGAAATGAGCAAGAAAAGAAAATAATTCGACTTCATTTTAGAACTAATAAATTATTTCAAAAATCTCCAAAACCTTTTTTGTGGTGATACAACTTCAACAAAAACTGAAATTTTATGGGTTTTTAGACGTGTTTAAGTCAAACCATCTAATTACACTTTTAAATAAAAACAGAATAAGAAAAAGAATACGACTTAGTATTAGTATTAACAAATGAATACAAAGCTTTCTTAAGCTTCTCTTCAACTTCATCCAAAACGAAAAACAGAAATTTGATGGTTTTTTGAAGCGTGTAAGTTAAACCATCTAATTACACAGAAGACAGTTTGATCAAACAATGTGACCATGTAAGGTCCATATAAGGCATCAACACACATGTGCGATTCTGACGGTGCGAATCTGTTCCGAAAAAATTACAACAATGCCGCAACTATTTATTTTGAACATTCACAGCTCTTCATTTCGTCGTGCCGAAATTGCAGACCTACGCGTTCGGAAACGAAAAGGCGGATTCTGTATAATTTAAACAAAAATTAAAGTAAGAAAACAAAACATCTTGATTGTTCAAAAGCAAAGAATTTGATGAAGATTGTTTTATGTTTGTTTATAAGATGCCATTTTTCACTGCGATAGCATCGCACAGATGTGTGCGTAATTGTGTTTTCGAAGTGGTAAATTCTGTAGCATCAGAAACGGTGCGGAGGTCGAGGTGAACTCGAGCCGGCAAAAAAAAAATTTTGAAATTTATTAAGGGCAGCAGTCTACCGGATATCCGATCGGATATCCGAATCCGGATGTTATTTTTTGCAGGATATCCGGAATCCGGTTATCCGGCAAAATCTATATCCGGCACATCCCTAATAATAATTTTAATTTTTTGAGTCTCTATAAAGGAATCTGAACTAGGCCCCTGCGCGACACGCCTTAACCGTCTACAATCGGGACCAAAATTTGTATGTGATATCTGCGACCGTGGTATTACCGATTGAAGTATATCGTTGGCTTAGTTCGCAAACGTGCTAAGTCCATTTTTTTTTATTTTTCAGGAGGGACAGAAAACCGTCTAACTTTTTTTGTTGTCAATATTTTTCTAATCTGTAAATGCAGTTTCCTTAGTTCGTCTTGTTTTAGTACCAATAATGGGCCAATTTCAAAATAAAGCTGTTGCAGACTTATAGGCCCTTTTAGGACTTACTACATTTTCTCTTTAAGATTTTATTCTTTTAATGTGGTAAGTCCACATTTTCTATCAACCTTTTTTCCATTATTTTTTATTGTTAAAAGATTTAATTGTTTACTTTAAATATATTTTATTGTTTTAAAATGAATTATAACGTAATACAGTTTTATTTCATTGCTATTAACAAAAATAAAGTAAGAGGTAAACCCGGCCCAGGTATCAAATACTGTCGTAAGCAGGGTCTTTTTCCAGATTTCAAACGTTTTCGATAATATCTTGAGTTAAACTCAATGAAATAATTGAACCACGTTTAGTAGAAATCGCTAAAGTGGCTACCAAAATACACCTTGTAGTCATAAATTGGGCGGTGTCACGCAGTCTTAATTATTGTTAAGAGATTAGGAGATCTGAAATTTATCGTTAGATATACGGGAAGCGAATGTAATTTTGGTCCGATTTGAATAATTTTCAACGAATTGCTTTTCCGTACTAGGTTTATTAAGTTCACAGAGTTTGGTAGAAATTGATAAATCGGTTACCGAGTTACAAATTTGTGGTCATAAGTGGGCGGCGCCATGCCCATTATCCAAAAATGTATCATAATATAATTTTCTGCTGAGTGGTTATCGCGATCATCGATTTTAAGTGAATTAGATTTTCAACAGATTTCTTAGCTAGACCCTAAATAAGGCTCGTACCGAGTTTGGTGAATGGGCTACTGAGATGCAGCATTTCATAATTGGTGGGCGGGGTCACGCCCATTTTCCAAAAATTGCACAATAATATTTTTTTACAAAAAATCTACTTCACATACTAATTTTGAACAATTTGCATCCAATATTTACTGAAATATCGTAGTTTTTGCATCGTTAGAAAATACCTTTATATCGGAAATGGGCGTGGTTACATTCAGATTCGCCCATTTTTAATACCAACTTACCTTGGATAAAGGGCAACCAACATACCAAATTTCGTTGAGATATCTCGAGTTACACGAGTGTACACGGACAGACGTGTATATATATTTTTTTGATTTTTTTGGACTTAGCACATTTGCGGACCAATGCATAACAACAAGTAAAAACGACATTACGGTAATTTTCTTTTTTGGTAATGATGTATTTTCAGTTATGCTATCTTACTGCATCACAATCTCAATTTACATAAAAAGTGGACTTAGCACGTTTGCGAACTAAGCCAACGATATTTGTCTTTCTATCTGTCTTTTGGTATACCAATTGTATGAACTGATCAAACTTTGTTTGCGTTTCCCACAAAATTGAAATTTGGAAATAATTCTGTATATTATTCACCTGCGATATATATAGTTATTCCAAGAGATCAGTAAACGAATGGTTTTGTTTCGTGTTATATGCACTAAAAGTGAAAGTACATAACACGCATTGCGTCGCCGTCACCGTCACCGGCAGTTGTCAAAAAAGCTGATTCGGTGTATTTGTATGAAGTAAGTTACGTGAACAAGCTGACAGTGACGGTGCCGCACAAATTAGCTCAACTCTCAATTTTGCTTATGCGATTGCGTCAAATGACAACTATTCAGTGTTTTGTTTACATGTTTGAACGTAAATTTTTCCAGTTTGTGAAAATTTTAATATTTATACAAAAACGAAATGTAAAAAATAATGAGGAAACCCTAATAGAAGAAGTGAAAAAGTAAAATGCAAATTTTGCAAAGAGTCAAGCGCAATGTCAAACGAATTGTGTGTAACTTGACGCATAAGCACCGTTGACGGTGATGGTGACGGTGGCGGTGACGCTGTCGCAATGGATGGTATGTACTTTCACTTTAACTTATTGTTTCGTTTGTTTCCCTATTTCTCTGCATTAAATTGTTTTGCTTACTTCAGCAGAGTAAAGTTACCGCTCGCATAAAGTTCTTTCCCGTACGCAACACGGGATCCCGCGGGCGCCCAAAACTGCTCAGAAGTCATTCCCGTACTCATAAAATGGGTAATAGAGAGCGAAAATTAGAACGTATTGGATGGTAAGTGTCTTATTCTTCTCGCCCGAAATAGCCCGGACTTTTTCTCCGGGTAACGGGCATATCAGCTGTTCTATGTTTACATGTATTTTCAATCTTTATATGCTTTTTTAATATAACAATCAAATTTGTGAAACCAAAATTCAATTACCAAGTGTTTGCACCAGGGTACGAAAATAAACTATATTGTACGTTACTATTTCGTTTCGTTTATTACTTCAACAGTTCGGTACAATACGAAAACAAAACGGCTGAGTTCACTTTGGCGATAGTAGTTTAGTAGTTACAGACGAAATAACAAACGAAATGAATCGTGCAGGGAAAAATATATGTATGTATGTACACATATGTAATAACTAAACAAAAACGAATGGCTGCAATGAATAAAAAAAAATAAAAATGTTTTTTTAATTGAATTGGATATGAAAATTTACAGAAAAAAATATTTTTCACGTAATTTCAACGTTTGCATACATATAAAACGTACCCTATGGTACAATTGTCACAAACGAAAAGCAAACGTTTCTCGTTGGGGAAAATGACAGTGAATCTTACAATTTGTTTCTGACTATGTACAAAACTGTAAAAAACCACAAAAGATATGATGATCGATGAGCAAATGGGAATTGTACAGTTTACTTTCGTACTCTGGTTTGATTTAAGTGCCAACAACAAAAACCACGTGAATCAGCGTACTTGTGGACATTTTTCCATTTTTGAGAGCAAATTTGTCGCTTACTCTCTAATTACAGGATTCGTTCCGGGTTGTACGGGAAAGAACCTAAAATATTTCCGAGTGCTTTGAATCGGTTATGTTTCGTTGCCTTGTATTAGCGAAACTAAACAATACCGAAACGTTTGCTACTGTTTGTTTGCGTTCTATGCAATATTATAATAGAAAGAGCATGCTTATACTGATAAATTTTCCAGGCCAAAATAGAATAAATCAATAAAAGTTAAGGTAGTCATTCACAAACAGATACGCTTTTTCCATTGTTTTGTATAGCGGCAACCATATGAATGGGTTTCAATCAAATAATCAGTAAACCTACCATGTTTACATTAAATAAATTAAATACGAACTATTTCACGCTCAGCCATTGTATCAGACGGTGGATCAGCAACAAGAGTTTACGTGATGTGCATTGCTTAGGGTTGGCGTTGCTGGCTTTGCACATCGATGATGTGTGTTCGATTCCTGCCTATGTCTAGACAAAGGAGTCTGATCTCCGATATAGCAGCTATAACTTCTACCGCTTAGACTTAGTTGTTTTTTTTTCTATTTTTCCTATTGACAAATAGTTGTATAAAGCTCAATAACACTTGAAATAAATATTATTACGCCACAATAATAAAAATAATCATCATTTAGTGCTGTGAAAATAATTGAACACATTTAATTATTAAGGCTGTGTGCGAGTACGTCTAAATTGCTACCTAAATAGAGAATAATTGTAAATCACTGGAAAGTGTATGTAATGCAATGAATAGGAACAATTTATGGTGTTTTCGTTTCTTCCAAAAAATGTTGCCCTTTCCCGGTGCAAAATATGTTTGATATTACACTGAACCCTGTAAAAAGGCATGTTTTTGCCTTCTTGTCCTTGTCTAGCGAACTCATTTCATAGTATTGTCGTTTTAAACAACCATCTGATTTTCAGGGCAACCATCTCCCCTGAGAAAGCTTCACAGGGCAGAGAATGTGCCTTTTTTGCCTTACAAGTATGACACTTTAAGAAACGAACACACAATTTTCTCACCCTTTGCCTTTAATTTAAAATCTAACATGAATTGAGAAAGAGGCAATCAATACCCAAAATTTTTTGGTAGAAACGAAATCACAATGACTTTTTTTCGAGCATATTTTTCAGCCTAAATTGAACTGTTAAATATATTTGGGCGAGCGGTTAAGCGAACAATTGCCTTTACAAGCATATTCACATTTTGAAAATCAATTCAACAATTTTCGAAATATAAGCTTTTCAAAACATTAAACTTCCACATTTACCACCCCCTATTAATTTGCGCCAAACATTTTTTATACCACTAGAAGATACTTTACNATATTTGGGCGAGCGGTTAAGCGAACAATTGCCTTTACAAGCATATTCACATTTTGAAAATCAATTCAACAATTTTCGAAATATAAGCTTTTCAAAACATTAAACTTCCACATTTACCACCCCCTATTAATTTGCGCCAAACATTTTTTATACCACTAGAAGAGGGAAGAAGGAGGACCAAGCCTACTTTTCTTTTTTTATTACTTTATACTTATGCCCAACAACAAGGCGAATTTATACAAGGTGGCGTTGATAGCGAATTTAGATTTTCGCCGCGGTACTTCCTAATGTCAAAATGATGTGTTTGTTGTAAACAAGGAGAATTCTTTTTACAACAAACACACCATTTTGACATTAAAAAGTACTGCGGCGAAAATCTAAATTCGCCATCAACACCACCTTGTATAAATTCGCCTTGGCCCCACAAATTTGGGTTGTCAAACGAACTCGCATTTCCTAAATTGTGCAGTAAAACATCGATGTTTTTGCAAATTGCAAACCTACATTTATTTGGCGCGCAAAAAGGTAAAATTAAGCAATTATTCATAAGTCAGCAAAAATCTTAATATTTAAAACACTTTAAAAACGTACCTCATTTGCATGATTCAATAATTAAAGGTTTCCTCACGAGTGACATTAGAGTTTGGATACTCCCTTCCAAAAGGTTGCATACACACACACGGTGCCTGGCTAAAAGAGCCGATTTTTTCAAGAGGGAGCGAGAAAGCTGTTTTCTGAGCAAACCTTTTATTAATCATGCCTCATTTATATATGTATAAGCATATCGATGGCTGAGTGGAAGATCGACCTATCTCGGAAGCCAGTTCAAAAACGCCCTATCTCAGAAAACTTTTCAAGAACGCCCTACTTCAATCGTGCAAATTTACTAAGTGAAAGGCTAAACTAGTTCTCAAATTTTGAAAAAAAACATCGATGTTTCATCCAGCTCTATGTAGCAGTGCTGAAAATTTCCAGTGAATTATTTGTTTAGGTACTAAAATTTAGGTTAAATCGCACACAGCCTAAGCACACATGCAAATACTACCATTCGCGGTAATCAGTGACATCCAAATACTTAATTGGGTACCCAGTACTTGATTATTTCCTAAATGTATTTAGCCGATAACTTGCTTCAATTGCAAGATCTGTGGAAATATCAAGTATAACGAATATTTATTTTAAGATAGAAAAATTAAAGGGTACTGCTCAGTTACTTGTACCGTGATTTTGGGTCCAAACGCGTTACTGAAATCAAGAAATTTTAGCATACATGTGTAGTCAAACTATTAAACTTTAATTTAAAATAAAGATTTCAAATTTCCAAAGACTAATTTATAAATACATTCGGTTTGAAAAATTCAGTTTTTTTGTAAGTATCGAAGTGTTCTGCGAAAAAATACTGTGGATGACGTAGCCCGAGTTGGACTGATAACCCTCTTTTTAGTAGTGCGGAAAGGTGTTCTTCGCAAAAATACTATGGTTGTTGCTGTAGTGGCTTACTTGGCCGTGCCTTGATCGACTTGCCGCTCAGTCGTTGAAATCAAGCTCAACTAACAAGAGGCCCAAGTAGTGTGCCACTCCGACAGGGTTGGACCAGAAGAGGGGCGTTAACTGAGCTGGGTTTAGAGAGCATGCGAAGAGGTGTGCCGAGTCATGAGGGGACTTTCCGCATGCCGGGCATTCATTGGGCAACATCCAGAGCGAAGTTTGGCTTGGCTATGGAGGTACGAATCTCCCGAGATAAGCGAAGTTCTATCTCGTCCGCATCAGATGACTGTGTTTCCAAAACGGCATTCACAAGACCAGAGTTGGTGTAAGTTGAGACCAACTCCCTGTTGTTGTTGTTGTAGCAGCAGTATTCAACCCCCCGGGGTTTCGTCAAGGGTCGTCTTCGTCCTCTGACTCGACAAGCCTATGGCTGAGAAAGCGGGCGGCGTCTATAGGCGCGGTCCATAGTGCTTCTGGTGTCAGGATCGTGGGGTTAGAGGCGCATGCGAAGAGGTGTTGGGTGTTGTGTGGACATTGCCCGCATGCAGGGCATGTGTCTGCCACTTCTGGGTTCAGCCGAGAGAGATAGCTGTTTAGTCTGTGGCACCACCCAGAACAGAGTTGTGCTAGGGTGCACCTGGTCTCTCTTGGCAGTTCAGCTTCGTCGATGTTGATGGGTGGCGGTCGACACCCTAGAACGTTGTTGTCGTTTCTGGTACTAAGACTCGACCTGACTGCATCGGTGTGTAGGTGGTTAAGCGCCGCTCTGTATTTCTCTGCGTCGAATGGGTGGTCTACGCACGGCTCAACGTCGGATTTCCAGCCGTGCAGGTGACGTCTGACATGTCGGGGAGGCGGTTCATTTCGAAGCAGGGCGTTATTGGCGTGATTTCCACGGTGACATCCTACGAGGAACTGCTTCGATAGCAACGTGTTGTGCTCTTTCACCGCCAGCATCTGGCTTTCTTGGTGGAGGTGATGCTCGGACGACATGAGATGGCAGCCTGTAGCCGTACGTAGAGCTGCATTCTGGCATGTTTGTAGGTTTCTCCACTGTGTATCGCTGGTACCCGCCGTCCACACTGGCGATGCGTAGTTTGCCACCGACCGGCCGACTGCTTTGTACGTAGTGAGTAGGGTTTCTTTGTCGGCTCCCCAAGTGCTGCCGGCTAGTGACTTGAGGACTTTGTTCCTAGCTCGCATCTTTTCGCAAGTGGCTGAGGCGTGCGCAGAAAAGGTGAATAGGCTGTCGAACGTATCTTCCAAGATTTTGGGGTGGTTGACCGTCGGTATTTTGTTGCCATCGACGTAAACCTTCAGCCTTAGCCTAACTTCCTTTGTCCGGTGAGATAGTCGCTGATTTTCCCTCACAGGCTGTCAATATTGGGGCCCGTCGCCATAATCGTGCAATCATCGGCTTAGCTCACCAAGTTAACTCCTGCTGGCGGCAGAGGGAGTTTCGCCATGTAGAGGTTGAACAGTGTCGGGTAGAGTACGCCGCCTTGGGGGACCCCCTATTTAATCCTACGCGGCTTGGACTTGGCGTTTCGGAATTCGACCGATGATTGGCGTCCACACAGATCCACCGCTTCTTCCGATCCGAAAGCGACGAGTTCAGGACGTCTTGGCAAAGGGTCGCGTGGTTTACCGTGTCGAAGGCCTTCGAGAGGTCCACCGCGACTAGGACCGTCCTATCACAGGGTCGACGTTGGTTCAGACCCTCGCTTATCTGTGTGGTGATGGCGTTTAATGCAGTGGTCGTGCTGTGCATTTTGCGGAATTTTGGGGATAGGAGGGAGATTGGCCGGTAAGAGTCTCCTGCGTCCGCCTTCTTACCTGGCTTAAGGAGGGGAATCATTCTACCCATTTTCCACATCTCAGGGATGATCAGGGTGGACAGTGAAAGTTGTGCTGTACTCGATTCCCACTGGTCCTAGTTTTTCCAGCATCTGCATCGAAATTCCGTCAGGGCCTAACGCCTTGGATGCTTTGGAGTTCTTTACAGCTACCTGCATCTCTTTTAGTGTAAAGCACGTTAGTGTGCTCGCAGCGGAGTTTGTGTGCTTTACGTAGCATGCTGCGGCGGGTTTTGTCTCTCCGGGTGTGCAATAAACTGTCGGCTGAAAAAGCGCGCGCACGTCTGTGGGTCCGACGTGGTGGTATCGCCAAATGTAAAGGCAACGTTGTCCTTGCGTTTCGTCGGATGGGAGAGAGATTTTACTGTCGTCCACAGTTTGCTAGCTCCGCTGGAGATTGCAGGTCTTGAGGTGCTCATTCCACGTTTTCCGCTTGTGTTCGTTAACCAGTTTGTTAATGTCCTTGTTGAGATCCCTGATACGGGGATCACCAGGATTAGACTGGCGGATTCGATCACGCACGTCTGCGAGTCCCGCCGCTTCAGTTGGAAAGCCCGGGCGGATTTTGGCGATCCTACCGGCTGGTATGAAGCGGGCGGCTGCTGCGTTGATGATCCGGCGGAGTTTGCGCTCAGCTTCGAGCGCGCATGTTGGTGGTGGAAGAGCACTGAATTTGCGGTCCGTGTGTTCCGTAAAACCGTCCCAGTTGGCCTTCTTGGTGTTCATATACGTACGGTCTTCGGATGTGACAAAATCTCTTGGGTGGTCTATCGCGACTACTATAGGCAGGTGGTCTGAAGCGAGCGCGAGCACTGGTTGCTAACCAATGCAATTTATCAGNCAAAATCTCTTGGGTGGTCTATCGCGACTACTATAGGCAGGTGGTCTGAAGCGAGCGCGAGCACTGGTTGCTAACCCCCGCTTGCTATAGTGATATCTGGCAAGCTGTAGCAGTCACTCGCGACCCTGGTGGGGGCATCGTCGTTTACAGTGCAAAACGTTGAGTCGTCAATTTGTTCTGCGATTAGTGTACCCCGCTGGTCGTTTCCCAGGTTAGAGTGCCATAGTTCGTGGTGCGCGTTTAAAGCCCCTAGCACTACCCGGTTTCCGCCTTAAAGTAGCGCACTTATGTTCGGGCGGTATCCTGCTGGGCAGCTGGTGGCTGGTGGTATGTACACGTTGACGACTTCCAGCTCAGTATCTCTCGACTTGATTTCCACACCTTGGTGCTCAATGAGTGTGTCGTTGGCGGCGATTCGGGGGGTAATGAGCCGGTAATGGACNACCAGGATTAGACTGGCGGATTCGATCACGCACGTCTGCGAGTCCCGCCGCTTCAGTTGGAAAGCCCGGGCGGATTTTGGCGATCCTACCGGCTGGTATGAAGCGGGCGGCTGCTGCGTTGATGATCCGGCGGAGTTTGCGCTCAGCTTCGAGCGCGCATGTTGGTGGTGGAAGAGCACTGAATTTGCGGTCCGTGTGTTCCGTAAAACCGTCCCAGTTGGCCTTCTTGGTGTTCATATACGTACGGTCTTCGGATGTGACAAAATCTCTTGGGTGGTCTATCGCGACTACTATAGGCAGGTGGTCTGAAGCGAGCGCGAGCACTGGTTGCTAACCCCCGCTTGCTATAGTGATATCTGGCAAGCTGTAGCAGTCACTCGCGACCCTGGTGGGGGCATCGTCGTTTACAGTGCAAAACGTTGAGTCGTCAATTTGTTCTGCGATTAGTGTACCCCGCTGGTCGTTTCCCAGGTTAGAGTGCCATAGTTCGTGGTGCGCGTTTAAAGCCCCTAGCACTACCCGGTTTCCGCCTTAAAGTAGCGCACTTATGTTCGGGCGGTATCCTGCTGGGCAGCTGGTGGCTGGTGGTATGTACACGTTGACGACTTCCAGCTCAGTATCTCTCGACTTGATTTCCACACCTTGGTGCTCAATGAGTGTGTCGTTGGCGGCGATTCGGGGGGTAATGAGCCGGTAATGGACCGCGTTGTGCAATATAAAGGCGATGCCGCCTCCGGCGCCGCGAGGGCGGTCTCTTCGGATGACGTTGAACTCATCCTGACTCTGAAGGCTAGAGCCGGAGTGGAGTTTGGTTTCCTGGACCGCCGCGACTGAGATTTTGTTGCGCCTCATGAAGCTGACTATCTCAGCGATCTTGCTTTGTAGTCCGTTGCAATTGAACTGCAATAATTTTATGGAGTTGGGCCTGGTGATGGTTATTCGAGGGGTGAGGGAGTGCTGGCGCGCTGCCTGAAGTGCTTGCTGTGCCGGTTGTGTTTGTTGCGGGTGGTCCGACCGCTGGTGTTGTCACCGGTGTTGGCGCCGGTGTGAGTGTAACCGTGGCCGCGGTCGTGGGATTACCACTGGCGTTGGCATTGGCACAGACGTAGGTGCAGGCAATTGGGGTTGTGTGGTAGCAGAGCAGAAGGCTGCAGTGAAAGCAGTACTCCATTCGCGATGATCGCCTGATCAGGTTGTTGCAGACGCTGCAGAACAATCTGTTTTGAGTGGATGTCCGGGGTTGTGTGCTGGGAGTTGGTTCAGATGACACCAGTTATTGCAGCTGTTGCAACGGACTGAGGTGGACGAGTGGTGTATATTTCGGTTGCAGACACTGCATGTCCATGGTCCGGGGTTTTGGTCTATGCAGGTCATCCTCCCAGTGCTAAAAAATTGGGGGTTGCTGCTGGGGTAATGGTCCTTGGTCGGAGTGGGTGCTCCGAGTCAATCCGGTAACGTAGAACCGACCATCTTGGGATTGCCCTGTGAATGCCGTTTATGGCCAGTCGTTACGCTGTTGGGTCCAGAGGATATTTTACGAACATCTAGACTGCTTCAGTAAGTTCGTATATATGTCTTCTGTTGTGCCTAGGCGGGGGCTCTGCAACAAGCAGGTGTCTGTTCGGGTACCAGCGCCTGTAGCACCCTACTAGGATCAGAAGGCATCCCGTGGCGGTTCGGAGTGCTTTGTTTTGGCAGGTCTGTAACTTCGTCCACCGCGTTCTGCCAGCTAGCGACTTGACCTTGTTGCGGCTATGTTCACTATTGACAATTGCGGTTGTGAGCGCCGAGGAAGGGGGCTGACTGTTGAAGGTAGCTCCGAGTATAATGGGGTTGTCGCAATTGGTTCGCCGTCGACGTAAATTCCCTCATGTCCCTGATTTCGTAGGGGAGACAGTTAGACTCCTTGCAGTGAAGGAGCGAAAAAGTTCGGAGATGTTTACTTTCGAGCACAAGGCAACAATTCCATTTCCGGACGCTGTCATCGAGCAATCGTCAGCCTAAGAGATAATTGAAACTCCTTCTGGTGGTTGAGGGAGCTTTGGGATATAGTAATTAAGCAGAAGTGGGAAAGGACACACCTGTGGGACGACCTGTTTAATTCTTCTCGGTTTAGAAATTTCATCTCTGAAAATAACTAACGAATTTCGACCACTCAGATAATTAGCTGACTATCGTTTGAGTGCCTGTGGGAGAGAGGAAGCCTTAATGCCTTCTAGTCGTGTGGAGTGGCATACGGTGACACGCCTTTGATAGATTCAACGCTGCTAGGACTGTTCTCATACAGGGCGGTTTCGGTTAAGGCCACGACTTATCCGAGTGTATATATATAGATAGATAGTTGAATAGAGCACTGCGACCAGTAGGTCTAATGTGGCCTCAGCTCCACACTGTACCTCACCTAGCCCTAGTCTCTAGAAATCAAAAATTGAACTCCTGGGTAGAGAGTGTATGTGGTCCTCTCTTAGCCGTAAATGCCCTATGCTCCTCTCTCTTCTACGTGCGACGGATTCACACCCATGAAGGAGGTGTAATGGAGTATCCTTGGCAGCGTCACAGAAGCGACATAGGTCACTAGACCAGATTCCTAAATCGTAGCAAGTGGATGGTATTATTCTCAGCCAGAGCATTAAGCCTCTCTACACACTCCAGAATCACCATTATTTGATCTCGAAGGATGAGGGAGCCTTGAGTGCCGCCTGGCTATCGCTAAAATCAGGATTTTATCGCTTCGATACTTCCTTAGAAAGTTAATCTCCGCACACGGACTGATGGCATGAACTTCCGCTTGGAATATGCGGAGGTTCCTAGGGGCACCGAAAGCTTCGGTCTAGGGCCATAAACACCTGCTGCTATCCCTTCAGAAGTTTTAGAGCCATCCGTGTACGACTTTAAAGTGCTCGCCTGGACGTGTCTCTCCATGTCTCTGTTCCTGGAAGACAAAACCTTACCTTTGCCAAACCCCTCTCTCGCGAAATTAAGGATAGTCCGCTTTGTTGCTTGTTCGACTGATAGATGGAGTAGATCAAGTTCCAGCATTACCTCCAGCGCAGACGTCGGACATGTGCGCATTGCCTCCGTAATGGAAACACACGCCAGGCGTTGAATCTTAGCCTCACCGCTGCTAGAATAGTCCTGGAAGCCAAGCCACCTCCCCATAGGTTACTACTGGTCTTACTATCATGGTGTACCTCCATATAAGAATCCTTGATGTACAACCCGATGATTTATCCACTGGACGTTTACACACCATCAGCACTCTCGTAGCCCTGGACGTGGGCGCTTCGACATGAGTCCTCCACAGGAGTTTGAAATCGAGGATAAGTCTCAGGTGCTTCACTTCTGTGGCGACGCCGACCGTGGCTCCCTCCAATGTTAAGTTCCTTATCCCCTTGAAGGTCCTTTTCTTAGTAATGGGGACTATAGCCATCTTTGATAGATTTATATTCAAACCTACATCCGCACACCACCTCTTAGCTAGATTAAGTCCTCTTTGGACGATGTCGCAGAGGGTACTTTGGAACTTCCCTCTGACAAAAATCACTATGTCGTCCGCGTATTCTTGGCAGCGAACTCCCTCATCAGTGAGTATTTGTGGCAGTTCGTCCACTACTAAGCTCCACAGGAGAGGAGATAGCACCCTCCTTGCGGGCACGATTTTGTCGTTTGTAATTGAACTACGCTGTTACCGACTGCGGATAGTTGGCTGGACATTACGTTTCTCGTTACGTTTGCTATGCGACATCTCTATGGCATGTATTGTCGAATGCTCCCTCGAACGAACAATCACGTATTTCCGTGGTCAGAGCGTTCAGAGCTTTGTCTGTTGATCTACCCGATCTGAACAATAATCTTCTCCATTACTTTCAGGATTAAAGAGGCGAGACTTATAGCTTATATGTCTGAATGATTTTGCAAGACGATGATCCCTCTTACCAACCTTCGGGATAAATATAACCCGGGCCCTCTACCACATCTCAGGAATGTCGGACTGTGCTAGACTGTCCCTCATGATATTAACAAGATGTGGAAGTTCACACCTCACAGCCTTCTGGTCACTCGACGTTGGGCTTTGTCCACCGATAGTCCGAAGCTAACGTCAGCATAGTTCGCCACGTTATGCTGTTTGTCAGCACACTGCTAACTATTGTTATATCGGACGAGCTGCTGCTGCTGCCCCTAATCCTGCACACGGATTCCAAGATTCGCTATCGCTTAAGTACTAAAATGCTAAAGCTAAAGTTTTTTTCGAACTTTTGGCGATCTCCAAACATTTCGATAGCCTAAATTTTAGTTTTTTATCCGGCCGCTACGCAGTAACGGCAACTATCAAATTTTGTTTGAATTTTAATGATTGTAAACATTCCATTTTAATGGGGATAAAAAGTTAAATTAAAAATTAAAAAAAAATAGCGGGCTCATTTTGGATTACATTTCTTATCCTGTAGCGTAACCAATAGTACTTTAAAAAATATTCGGTCCGATTCACAAAGCCATTTAATGAACAGCCTGCGCAAAAGGTGTAAATCCTTCAGTGACTCAACGTATTGTAACTTCGAGAATTTTTGCTCAAGGTGAATAGAGCTTCGTACATTCTTTCAATAAATTAGTTAGTCAAGAAAATCTGTATTCTTCTCAGGAAGCTACCAGCGGTCAGTAGGGGTAAATGTGTCACAAACCACCTTGCATTCTAAGTATAAATAATATCGGAAGAGAATTTGGGAATAATGAAACCTTTAGAGAAAATGAAGTGTTTTATGAAGCAGTTAGATTGGAAACTCTCCTCAAGGCATATCTGTGAGACGACATGTAGTAAATAATTTCTCTTTTATTTAAGAATTTTGATAATACCATAATTATTCATTATACAAAACCATTTAAATATTTATTTTTTTCAATAAAGCTCGTCAAATAAGCGGAACAATCATAATTAATTACATGGTTTTTTGATATAGTTGAGTAGTTAAACGAACAATAGAAATCAAATAAATAAATAAATATTAGCTCTGAATTGTTGCCTAAATTTTTTTAGCAGCAACTTGTGCATGTCGCCAGTTTTACACTTTTTTAAGCAAACAATATAGATTTTTAGCGATGCAAAATGCGCTGTAATCGCAGTTTTAGCTTTACGAGCTGTCAAAAGCTGTTCACTCACTTTATCCGCAGCCGGATTCCAACTTTCGTTATCGCTAAAATGCTAAAGCTAAAATTTTATCCGAATTTTTGGCAATCTCCAAAAATTGCGATTCTATCCTCCCTGTCGCTAAAAATTGCCTAGCCTAAATTTTAGTACCTTATCCTTAGCCGCAAGTGTCGCTGTGCAGCAACAGCAGCTGTCAAAATTTGTTTCCATTTCAATGATGATAAATAATGGAAATAAATACTAGGTTTATTCTTTAGCTATTTGCAAATAAAAATAAATTGAAAATACCTAACACACTGTTTATATGACGGTGAAAACTTCTTTTTCAATATTTCCTGATTATAAAAAGGCAATCACATGACCATCAAAAAAGAAAATAAAGCTGAAAATGCCCCCGTCTTGTTTATAAAAAGACAATGAGATGACCATGAAAAAGAAAATAAACCTAATAGCAACGTCTTGCACTTGTTTGCAAATAATATCACTAATCAATATTTATTTGTGTGACCTAGTTATTTGCAAATTAAAAATTAACTTTGCGATTATGCGGCAAAGTTTAACATTTTGTAAAATTGTAATAAATAAGTAATATTCGCAAAGAACATTAAGGAACAGCCTTCGCAAAAAAAGCAAGAAAGTCCGTATCCCTTTCAGAATGTTACCTGTGTCAGTAGGCAAGATTTTTAAGTAAATGTGTCACAAAGCAGCATTATCATTTTTATTTTAGATAATATTGGAGGAGAGTTATATGAAAGTGTTTTATGAAGACAGTATGATAGAAATCCCTGCTCAAGGCATATCTGCCAAACAACACGCAGAAATATTTTTGTTTCTTTAGTTTAAGAATATCAATATAGTTATAATCGAGCCCTTCAAAACATAGTACAAGCATAAATTTTGGTTATTTTGTCACTTTTCTGTTGCAGTTTTCCATTTTCCTTTTTAATTACAAAGTTTTTTCTATATAGTTGAGTCTATTAGTTGAGTAGTTTAAACCAACAACAACATGAAAATTGGCTGTGATTTGTTGATACATTTTTTTAGCAGCAATTATTTCTAGTCGCCAATTTTTAACTAGTTTTAGCGAAAGTTTGAGATTTTTAGCGATGCAAAATACCCTGGAATCGCAATTTTAGCTCTAGCGACCGATTCCAATATTTTTTCAGGTACCGATGCCGAAGCCGATTAATCGGCATACGGGGAAATATTCGGCCGATGCCGATGCCGATTCCATTAAAAATTACAAATAAATGTATTAATTCCTAAAATCAGTTAATTTAACGGAGTTAACGAAACAAAAGAAAAAATAATTGAGTTAATTGGCTTGTTATGCAACTTTACATACACATGTATGTGTAAAAATATATGTACATATCGTCGCCTGGGTAAAAGTTGTCGCAAGCGCAATTTTGACGATTTTTAGTTCTAGAAGCAGTTATATATTTTTAAACAAGATCTTTCGATTGGTGTTATCAATTTTTAGATATCTCCTTTAGTTTCCGAGATATTGACTACAATTTTTTCGATAATTTAGTAAAAATTTAGTTAGTGATGCAGTCATATTAAACTAATCAATATCTTAAAAATGGCGTTCTCCATTATTGGATATCTCCTTTAGTTTCCGAGATATTGAGTAAAAGGTGTCGTTAATTTAGTAGAAATTTTGATCACATTTTGTCGTATTTCATACAAAGTGGCTGCCAAATTGTGGACAAATGACGCTTACGACAAAATTTTAATATCGATGGCTGAGTGGAAGATCGACCTATCTCGGCAGCCAGTTCAAAAACGCCCTATCTCAGAAAACTTTTCAAGAACGCCATACTTCAGAATTTAATTGAAAAATGACTTATTTCAGAATTTTATTGAAAAACACCCTATCTCAGAATTCGGTTCAAAAACGCCCTATCTCAAACGAAAATACATTGAAAATAAGCTGAGATAGGGCGATTCTGAATCGACAGCTGAGATAGGGCGTTTTTCAATCAAATTCTGAAGTGGGTCGTTCTTGAAAAGTTTTCTGAGATAGAGCGTTGTTCAAAAATTTTCTGAGATAGGGCGTTTTCGAACTGGCTGCCGAGATAGGTCGATCTTCTACTCAGCCATCGATATACTCAAAACTAGTTAACAATAAACATTGAAAATTAAATAATTTAAAAATTTTATGAACTAGTAACATTTTCAGACTTTGGAGAAAATTTATCTTCGCGTTTTTGAGAAATTGCCATCCAAACTTCAATCGCGATCTCCCACAACCTGCCGAAATCGCCATACGACAATCTTTTACCCAGGCGACGATGCGTATATCACATGTATTTACATCACATAGAACACTTTTTTATATGGTGCTATTTAAGCAAATTTTTTTTTATAAAAGTCTATCTGGGGCCTTTTTCATAAAGCGACAGTGATAATTTTGTAACGACAGGCATTTTCCATGTTGTCAGTGACAATTCGACAGTTTGGTGGGTGTCTTGTTTCATAAAAACAATTGTCACCACCTCTTAAATTCCATGAGAAATTCCATTCAAAAAGTCCCAAATTATCCATTGTCGGGGTTTAAAATTGCTATTGACAAAATTTTCGCCAGTCAGATGAAATTTATATGTAAATCATATGTAATAATTGCATTTGCATTATTTTAGTTTTAAGAAAAGTTCCAATTATTGAAAAGTAATGAAACGCGCGCAATTACCATATAAATAATTTCACAAAACTCTCCTGTGAAAGACGGAGCGACAATTTTTTCAGAGTGACAATTGTCAGCATAATTGTCGACAATATTCCATATTATCACTGTCGTTTTCCAAAAAATTTCACAGTTGCCTAAAAACGTATATGAAACAGGAAAAATGTCGCTGACAATTTTGGCAGTGAAATTTTATAGAAAAATCGATAATTGTCGCACCTGTCACTTATATGAAATAGGCCCCTGGTATATAACGAACACCATATAAATTCAGATTTCAAACTTCGTACAAAAATTTACAACAAAAATTCTGCTCATTTTCACCCAAATTTCAAACTTTTTAATAAGAATTTTGGTATGCAGTTTTGTAGACCATTTAATTCTAGTATAATGAAGTGCAACTTTCAAGCTGTCCGTTAATTTTTGTAAATTTTTTTGCTGGCAGTGTCCTCCATATAAAAAAAAATTGCGAACTTACATTTGTATGGAAAAAACGTGAAACACCTTCACCCAAAAAAATTTCATTTTTGCGATCTGTCTGCAAATGTTTTTTTAAGTTAGCTATTGTCTGTCGCTTCACTTCAACATATGAAAAGAAATTCCAAAGAATCAGCGAAAAAATAATCGGCTTCATTTTGTTCATCGCTAAAATCTGCCCAAAAATTAATCAAAAATGGAGATTTTTAGAGATGCCTTTTTAGGATAGAATCGCGAAAATCACTAAAAATTGCTAAAATTCATTTAGCATTTTTTAACGATGGATTTTTAGCGATAGCGAAACTTGGAATACGGCTGGTGGTGGGTGCGTCGTCGTTTATTATGTAGTTTTTTAGAGACGCCTTTTTAAGATAGAATCGCGAAAATCACTAAAAATTGCTGAAATTGATTTAGCGTTTTTTGGAGTTTTAGCTGTAGCGAAAGTTGGAATCCGGCTGCCGGTTCATTTGGTTCATCGATAAAATCTTCCAAAAATTTTACCAATAATGGAATTTTTTGCTTTTTTTAAGATAGAATCACGAAACCATTAAAATTTATTGTGCAGAATTTCGACTCGTATATCTGTTCACCCAAGTGTATTCTCCTACAATTGTTCGACAGGCTTAGATGCCATAGATGGTGGTGCGCGTTGAATTCGCCAACTATCACAGGATTTTCACGCCGGGGGTATGTAAGCTTTGAATATATCGAGCTCGACATCTCCTGAACGAATAGCAATGCCCAACATTCTGGGATGGTATCCCTGCAGTCGATGCCTGCTTATAGAAGAAGAAGATACTGCACGGTATGATGCATGATAAACGCTAAGCCTCCACCATCATCTCGCTCGTACACGTTGTATTCGGCGCAGATCAACAATGTTGAATTGCTATGAAGCTTTGCCTCTTCGACCGCAGCTATCAATATTCGATGCTGACCCATGAAGACGGTATCTCCTCGATCTTGCTCTGAAGTCAGTTACAGTTGAATTGTAGCCTCGGAGATGCCTTGGGAGACTGATCGCAATACGGTATGTCATGATTGTCTTCTGTTTTGATTCACCAATAATACATAAGAAATGGTTTTTGTTGTTGTTGTAACGGCTTACTTAACCCGTAATTGTCCGCAGGCTCAACTAACGGTGGGGTAGAACCAGAGGGAGACGGATGTTGTTGTAACGGCTTACTTAACCCGTAATTGTCCGCAGGCTCAACCAACGGTGGAGTAGAACCAGAGGGAGAGGGATGTTAGTTGAGTTGGATTGAGTGGCCATATGAAGAGGCGGTTGGTGTCATGGGGTGAATCTCCATAGGCTGTACACTAATTTTGGTGCTGGGAGGCGAGTCGGAACAGAGTTACGCGGGCCTATCGTGGCAGTTGAAGGTCTCTATCGTTCACAGGTGATGATTGTACACTGATGACGGCATTCACTCGACTGGAGTTTGTAAATGCCATTAATAGTCCCAGGGGTGCTCTAAGTAGTGCTGGATAAGGTGCTTCCATAGTAGAACCCTACTAGGAATTGATTGCTGAGCATGATGTTGTGCCCCTTACTACGAGAATTTTGGCTTCACTGTGGCTGTGATTTTCTGCCGACATCAGAAGGCACCCGCGGTTGTCCGGGGTGTTGTGTGGTGGTATGCCTGTAGTTTCGTCTACTGCGTACCAATTGTCCCCGGCGACCATGTAGGCGCTGCATAATTTAGAACCGGACGGCCAATTGCCGTGTATGTTTTGACTGCTTTTACACAGCTCAAGTACTGAATTCCATTCTGTTCGCATGCGTCTGTACCGCCTAGTTGTTTCAAATTTCTTGCTTTGCTTTTGACATTTTAAAGAACCAAAAACTTGAGCTCAACAGAATTGAAGCGTTTAAAAGCAAATAGAAAACACAAAAGAGAATGAGCCAGAATTGCTTTCAAGTACTTGAGACATGTATATCGGGTGTTTGCAACACCGTTTATTTTTCTTTGCACCAGTACTGCCAAATTGGGGAATTGAGGACTTTGCTACGTCTCTGAACTTTGTTGGCAATTCCAGTTGTGTGCGCCGGGAAAGAGAGCTGTTTCCGACGATTTTCCGGTTGTTCACCGTAGGAATTGGTTTGTCGTCGACGTATACCCAGCTGATGCTGGCCCCTTTCGCCATTGTCGTAAAATGGTTGCCGAGGATTTTGTAGGGGAGAGGGGTAGGCTTCTTGCGGTGAAGATACGAAAAAATGTGGAGTGGTAACCGTTTATATTTAAGCATAAGTCATCAATTCCATTGCTGGACGCATTGTAATATTTGTTTGTTGTTGTTGTTGTTGTTGTAGCGGCTACAACAACCCCGGCCAGGACGGTTGGTATCTCAGTCGTTGTCGTCAAGTTCCACTAGCGGCAACCCTAGGAAGCGTGCAGCTTCTGTGGGGTTTGTCCACAGGGACAAGGCCGTTAGGGTTGTCGGGTTTTCCGGGCATGCGAAGAGATGTTACGAGTCATGAGGGGTCTCTCCGCATGCCGGACACTCATTCGGCACATCCTCATTCAACCTATTCAGGTAGTAGTTCAACCTGCTGCTATTTGTTTGTCTTGATTGTGTCTTGTCGGGATTTTGTCTTGTCTGAAAAATGTGTTATCTGCATCTTATTTGGTCATTATTTTATGTCTGTATTATGTCCTGTCTGGGTTGTTTATATTCTGAATTTTTAAAAATTGTCTGGATTATGTCTTATCGGGATGTTAAAAGTCGGAATTATGTAGTACTCCCGATTTGCATTTCTAATCGCACTACAGAGTATATCCCAGGTATAGTTTTTTGGTCCAGGGTTTGATTCAATGCCAGCCCTGAGCAGAAGATGCGAGCAGATGCGGTGCGTAGAACGGGCTGTGGTGGGAATAAAAAATGATGGTTATTTTTTGAAGCGAAAAGATATTCTGCGCAAAAAATATTGTGGAAGGCGTAATCCAAGTTAACATTTTCTGTCATAACCCCATTTACTCATTACCCATTTACCCCATTTTCAAACGTGTCCCTAGCGATCTTTAGAAAATGTTTTTATGAAAGTTTGGACTGTACTTTTTCTAATGGTTTGAGTTTTCGGTTTCACACCCCATCCCCCGCTGCCGCAACCACAAAACCATTGTACAAATAACCGAATCGTACCTAGTGCGAGTTCACCTTACCTGCTTTGAACTATTTCCTTGTCTGCATTGGATAAAGTCAGTATCTGGCGCTCCACTAATTCCTGTATGAAATCAACTCGTCGCGCATAAACTTTTGAAGAGTTTAGTAGCAACAAGCCAGCTTCATTCAATACGATTTCACGCCCTATACCCAATTTCTCAAATAAATCTAAATACTGTTCATACAACAACAATTAAATAACATTTAAACATGTAGGTTAGAAGACATTTAAAATGTTTGCTACATATGCACATTTATACATATGTACATAAAAAGTAAAATTAAAACTTACATATTTTAAAGAAATGCTAAAATCAGTAGCATATTCCACATGTTCTGCCAACTCAATAAGTAAAAGAACTATATTTTTTTGAGATCGTTCCTCTTCCACACTGTGTATAAGTTTGGAAACACGTGAATTGGGATGTTTATTTGCGGCTTGAAGAATACAATCAAGTGCCTCGGTATTGTCCACACCTGTAATCATTATAGATTTGTAATTTTATGACTTAATTTTACAAAACAAGCCAGGTTGAGTTGTCCCCTCGTTTATTAATGGTTAAAAAATATGTATTTGATGTTATGGCCAATAAACACAAACCCAACCATAGCATAGCCCATATCAAGGCTTCGTTCAATTGAAATACATATCGGAGCCTAAATTTACTTCTCTTACCTGATTCAATCATCTTTTCATCTGATAACGAAAAACAGTTTATTTACCAAACAGTCTTAAAATTTGATGTTTTCATATTTCACACTTATTTTGGTTTTTATTACATTCTTTTTTTTAATTTAATTTGTTATTATCCTCTTTCCATTTCATTCCCATGAAATTTCATTTTCCATGTAAGGGTTGACTTGTTAACCAACATATTTTCGATTAGCTACGATACTCTGCACCTCTGGGTAATTTCGTTCAGTTTTTTTGTCGATAGGGCGTGTAGATAGCGGAGCATTACTTTGTGTTTACACGTTGGAAAACCTTTGGTATACATATGTCTAGAATAGCAACCGTTATTGATTGATGAACCGGGTTGATTTGCTTATGAGCTGTTTTTGCATACCAGCAGCTCCCAAGAAATCGGTCAAGAAAAATGTGCCTTTATTTCGTGTGTGTGTCCAAGGAATTTTGACGTTTTTGATACTTCACAGCCTGTTGCCTCACTCTTTCCTCAAGAAATAATGGAACGGGCATATATTTCTGTTGCAAGCCTAGGTTGCCTTGTTCTCCTTTTTCACAAAAAACTTTAGAAAACCGTGTAAAAAGCGTAGCAAATTTCTTAAGAACTGCGTACTGCCTAAAGCCCTGTATGCAGCTCTCAAGAAATCGGTNGTGTGTGTCCAAGGAATTTTGACATTTTTGATACTTCACAGCCTGTTGCCTCACTCTTTCCTCAAGAAATAATGGAACGGGCATATATTTCTGTTGCAAACCTGGGTTGCCTTGTGCTCTTTTTTCACAAAAAACTTTAGAAAATCGTAGTATAAAGCGTAGCAAATTTCTTAAGAGCTGCGTACTGCCTGAAGGAAATTTGACTTAAGAAAATTTCTTATCCATTTCTTGTACGTCATTTTGAATGGAATTTCAGCTTTTCTTGAGAACTGCATACAGGCCTTANATGTGCAAAAATACCGTGGATGGCGTAAGGCGTTTCAGCCTCATTTATTTCGCAACACATGAAGGAGAAATCTACTTAGTAAGGGTTATAATCCCTANCCTCACTCTTTCCTCAAGAAATAATGGAACGGGCATATATTTCTGTTGCAAGCCTAGGTTGCCTTGTTCTCCTTTTTCACAAAAAACTTTAGAAAACCGTGTAAAAAGCGTAGCAAATTTCTTAAGAACTGCGTACTGCCTAAAGCCCTGTATGCAGCTCTCAAGAAATCGGTCAAGAAAAATTTGCCATTATTTCGTTTGTCTGTCCAAGTAATTTTGACATTTTTGATACTTCACAGCCTGTCGCCTCACTCTTTCCTCAAGAAATAATGGAACGGGCATATATTTCTGTTGCAAACCTGGGTTGCCTTGTGCTCTTTTTTCACAAAAAACTTTAGAAAATCGTAGTATAAAGCGTAGCAAATTTCTTAAGAGCTGCGTACTGCCTGAAGGAAATTTGACTTAAGAAAATTTCTTATCCATTTCTTGTACGTCATTTTGAATGGAATTTCAGCTTTTCTTGAGAACTGCATACAGGCCTTAAAGGAATTTGACTCAAGAAAATTTCTTAGCCATTTCTTGTACGTCATTTTGTATGGAAGCTTTCCTTGAGAACTGCATACAGTCCTTTACGCGTAAAAGCACATTTAGCGCATTTGGCTCTAAATGCCACTCTAAATATACATTTGGGTTGGCTTTCCAATAAGGGCTTTGGTTAAAGGGATGCTTTAGAGAGAGCATAAACCGCCATACACTAGAATGCAACCGCTGACCATCTAGGCCCCCTATAGGTCCCTAGGGATTCCTGAGAAAATGGGCAAAAATCACAAGTTTCACTTGCGTTTTCGTCTATTTTAAGCAAATGAACGCAGGAAACACTTGGAGCAGTACTAAAATTTATAATTTCATTGTTAAAGTTTATATTAGCGATAATAAAAACAATATTTCAACAATATGTAACAAAATCACAAACCGATAAGAATTTGCAGCTACTAGTTTTTTTTTTTTACGTTAAACTGTCAAATGACCGGATGAAGAAGAAGCGTGTGGTTAACCAAACGAGCAATTATGCACAATATTACGACTTATGTGCAAAAATACTCTGGATGACGTAAGGGGTTTCGGCCCCCTCTCTTTTGCAACACAGAAAGGAGAATTCTACTTAGTAAGAGTTATAATCCCTAAGCGCGGCCGCAGGGCGCCTACGCAGAAAGTAGTTAACTGAAAAAAATACCGTGGATGGCGGAAGGTGTTTCGGCCTCCTTTCTTTCGCAACACAGAAAGGAGAATTCTACTTAGTAAGAGTTATAATCCCTAAGCGCGGCCGCAGGGCGCCTACGCAGAAAGTAGTTAACTGAAAAAAATACCGTGGATGGCGGAAGGTGTTTCGGCCTCCTTTCTTTCGCAACACAGAAAGGAGAATTCTACTTAGTAAGGGTTATAATCCCTAAGCGTGGCCGAAAGCCGCCTGCGCAGAAGGAGTTATGTGCAGAAATACTGTGGATGACGTAAGGGGTTTCGGCCCCCTTTTTTCGCAACACCGAAAGGAGAATTCTTCGTAGTAAGGGTTATAATCCATAAGCGTGGCCGAAGGCCGCCTACGCAGAAAGTAGTTATGTGCAAAAATACCGTGGATGGCGTAAGGCGTTTCAGCCTCATTTATTTCGCAACACATGAAGGAGAAATCTACTTAGTAAGGGTTATAATCCATAAGCGTGGCCGAAGGCCGCCTACGCAGAAAGTAGTTATGTGCAAAAATACCGTGGATGGCGTAAGGCGTTTCAGCCTCATTTATTTCGCAACACATGAAGGAGAAATCTACTTAGTAAGGGTTATAATCCCTAAGCGCGGACGAGGACTGCCTTTACAGAAACATCTTCGCAAAAATACTGTGGATAATTGCTCGTTGGGTTCTCCACCCACCTCTTCTTCATTCAGCCATTTAACAGTTCAACGTAAATAACTATTAGCTGCAAATTCGTATCGGTTTGTGATTTTGTTACATATTGTTGAAATATTGTTTTATTATCGCTAGTATAAACTTTAATAACTAAATTATAAATTTTAGTACAATGCCAAGTGTTTCCTGCCTTTTGATACAAGTCAGTGCTTTGATTAGCTAAAACAAGCGAAAACGCAAGCGAAAATTGTAATTTTTGGTCATTTTTATAATTGGTCCCTAGGGACCTACAGGGGACGTTTATGCCCTCTCCAAAAAGGGGGTGCCACGCGCCTCCCCTTCCGTCCACCGCCCTTTTAACCAACGCCCTTATTGGAAAGTTTCCCCGTACATTTATCCATACAAAATTCGTCACCTAAATGCAATTAAATGTAACTCCATTTCTGCATTGAGTGTATATACTAAAAGCAACCCTGTGATCTTCAAATATTTCCACGATGCGAACATGGTTTAATGAGAAAATATGGCAACATTGCCATATTTCGCGTATACAGTTGCTTGCTGCGTCTCAGTGATCGCCGATCAAGATTTCATATACATTAAGTTGGCTCAATTCGTGATCAACTTTGTTTTTGTTTTCCTATTTAATTGAAGAAAATTCAGTTGGCAGCACCGACAAATGAATATATACACAAACATATTTTCGGTTATGGTTAAAACAATTAAAGTTGTTGTATTGAATTTTTTGTTTAAAATTTCTCCTTTTCTTTTCTGTAGGGTTTTTTGCATATTATCTTCTCTGTGCAAATAGATCGTGATAGATACGGATTTTAATAAGCGACTGGATCACGGCTGTTTCCAAAAGCATACGATTTCGAACTTGTTTAAATATTCATTTGCTAATGCGATAGCATGAGCGCTCTTCGAACAAATATGTTCGAAAGTGCTAAACGTTGCATTTTAAATGCAGCAAAAACGCTGCATTACGCTTAACTGGCCGTCTCCACAGGTTACAATTTATTGCTGTCCAGCTGTCACTGTGGTCGCTAGATATAGGTTATATCAGTAGCACGGTGCAGCGAACAAAGGTGGCGCCGTCAGTGGTACCGCTACTTTGGTTTTGCCGATTTTGACAGTTGTGGTAACTTGTAAATAAACCTTTGTTTACAAATCAGCGAAAAGGGAAAGTTGAATTATAAGTGAAAAATCAAATTAAATTGTGTTACATTGCAATTTGTGAGTGATTTTTGAGTTGAAGGCTGCGTAAAAACTAATAACATGAAGTGCCGTGTGCGACAGCCCTAAAGATGCAAGATGCGTAGATGCAAGTGTAGCCCTGCGACAAATCGCTGCATTTTGTGTACATAGGGCACAGCAAAGCCGGAAATGTTTCTTTATTATTATATTAACAGCATTTCGTCACAATGATTTTGCTTCAGCTTCAAACAGCATCCTTTAGCAAGTTATGGGCTGTTTTTGCTTACGCGTAAAAGCACATTTAGCGCATTTAGCTCTAAATGCTACTCTAAATGTACATTTATCCATACAAAATTCGTCACCTAAATGCAACTAAATGCAACTCCATTTTTGCATTAAGAATCTAAATGCTAAATGCAACCCTGTGATCTTCCAAAATTTCCACGATTCGAACATGGTTTAGTGAGAAAAAGTGGCAACATTGCATTTTCGAGTATACAGTGGCTAGCTGCGTTTCAGTGATCGCCGACCGAGATTTCATTTATTATTTTACATTATTTGGATAAACAAAAGTTACGCAAATTCAACAACGATGTGATGCTGATAGAAATCTGGATCAATTTGTGATCAACTCCGATTGTTTTGTTTCCTAATTAAGTGAGGAAATTTTATTTGACAGCACCGACAAATGAATATATACACAAACCAATTTTCGGTTATGGTTACAACAATTCAATTTTTTCTTTTGAATTTTTGGTTAAAAATTTATTTTTTCCTTTTCAGTAGGGTTTTTTTGCACATTATCTTTTCCATGAGAATTGATCGTAATAGATACGGATCTGAATAAGCGACTGGAACACGGCTGTTTGTCAAAAGCATACGATTTCGAACTCGCGTAAATGTACATTTGCTAAATGCTGTAGCATGAACGCTCTTCGAAAACATATGTTCGAAAGTGCTAAATGTTGCATTTTAAATGCAGCAAAAACGCTGCATTAACTAAATAATCGCGCGGAGATGCTGCCACGGTTTGGTGCAGCAGCCTTAATTGCAAAGCAATGGAGTGCACTAAAACGTTTGCTGAAGCAGCCTAAATTGCAATGCAATGGAGTGCACTAAAACGCTCACTTTTCTCTAATAGATTAGGTGAAAAATTCAATAGTTTCGCATTTACCTAGTTAAAACACGTTTTTCGCTGTAAAGTGAACTGTTTTGGCAGTTTCAACTCGTTCTTCTTTTCGTTATATTCTTTGTTTATTTGTGGTACAGAAATGTCAACGGCCAGCACCGCGCAATCTTGTATTCTATCATTCTTGTATCAGTAGCGATATTTGTGTGGGCTTTTTATATCTTGATATAAACATTTGTAAGATAGCTTCGAAAAAGCATTTTCGCCGAATTTAATCGCTTAAAAAATAT